ATGATTTTCGATTTTTCACTTTCATTCCTCTTTTTTCGAATAAACCTTCAATTTTAATGCTGTATGTCTGTTTGCCTATACATACGTTTCGACCAAAAAATTCCATTTTTAAACTGATCCGGGCCATTTTGCACACATGCACTCAGAGGGGGGTCGTAAGTTATTTTCGTTATTGATTGATATCGATTCCATCAATTCTTTGCAGAATTTGAGCTATGGAGCTGGAGTTGATATAAGGGGGTAAGTGGGCACGCTGATTGCGAATACGGTAGTTTGAAAATTATAGTTTAATTCTATCGATTTTATCATTTTTTTGTAAATTTTGAACTACAGTGCTGGGGGATGGCACGGAGGGGGAGAGGGGGGGGGGGGGTAAGTAAGTGAGCACGCTAATTACGAAAAAAGTGGAGACAGGGACTGATGTATAGAACTGGGTCAGGGACAAGGAAATGTCTAGAAATGAGTGGCAATGCCAGGAAAGGATTGTGTCAGCTAGTATACATATTAAAATAGAACACTTTTTGTAGGCTACAATAAATATTGGTTATGATTTAGAGCCTTGCATAGAACATCTTCATAAGATTTTAGCATTTTGTCATGACATATGAATCAACCTGACAAAAACTAAAGCAAAATTCTTTTTTTTTTTTCGAAAATGCTCTAACAGAAAGAGGAGCGTACTTTGGTTTGAGGAAGCTTTTTTGTCGATAGAGCAAATATTGCAAGAATTGATTCCTTGAAATTGTTCGATTTTTCGCAGCATAAAAAACATCGTTCACTTTACATTCCGCGCAGGACATGTTTGGTCGTTGTGATTTGTGCTTTGATTCCTTATGGAAATGGAGTCATTTCAGAATCAAATCACTTTGGCTACACTGAACGATAATATCTGAAGAGCAAAGCGCAACTTACCAGAAATGTTTATAAGCAGTAAAGTTCATGTTTATTATGGAAAGAATGTAAAAACTTTACTTCTGCAAGTAACAACGGGGGGACTGTATTTACTTTTCGAATCCTCCAAAGTACTTTTTCCAGGTCCTGAACTTCGCTTTCGTCTGTATAGCATTTAGATTCACCAGAGACTGCCGCCTTATCATTTTGATTCAATTAGTTCCGCATTAACCTTGACTTTGCTAAGAAAGCAATCAATCATGGAACCAGCAGTTTGCCGAATTATATACGATTTATGAAGCAGACTGTTACCTCTGCTAAATTTCGTTGCAGTCTGCTATTTGTGAATGAGAGTATACCGTGTTTCGATTATAAACAAAATTCTTCTCCAAAAAAGAATATACCCATTGTCATTTGCATCAAGGGAATGCAAGAGTAATAGAACAATTAACCAGATGATTTAACTTTCTCACAAAAAGGCACTTCAAGTGTTTCAGTATCGGCAATCGTTATGACAAAGTTCATTTAACACATTCACGACAGGGCCGATTTTTCGCTGACTGCCATTTCGGACCAGAGCATATTTCGCAAAATTGAGTTTGCGGAATATTTTTAGGCCACTGATGGGCCCTGTGGTCTGAAGTGTTAATCTTTTGGGAAGTACTCTAAGAGGTGTATGCAGGAGTTTACTCGGCTTGTCTAAAAAGTTTCACCGTGAACTAGCAAAATCAAAAACTTCAGAAACCATACGACCCACCGGTGGGTCGTATTGTCCGAAATGGCAGAACACGTACGACCCACCGGTGGGTCGTATTGTCGTGAATGTGTTAAGGTCATCGACGAGTGCCGGAATTTTAACACTCACAAAAATGCACAATTTTTCAAGCGCAATGGCTTGATAGAGTTATTGCACTGATATAGCATACTGAGCCATGTGGATGTGCTGTACCTAAAATTGTATCCGAAGTTCAAGATGAAAAAAGTTGCTTTTCTATTGCATTCGAGACTAGGGGGTGGAATCAGAGATCCCTGCAGCCAATCCAGCCAATTGCCCTATTAAAGGCAGCGTCTCACCAGACCAGGGGTACCTGGCTCTGGTAATAATGTAATAGTGGACCCCCTAACTAAGCGACGACAGAAGTTTGCAGCGCGAAAGGGGATCTACGAAGACTACAAGCCGCCCCCATGGCCCGAATCTTACGGTAGGCTTGGGCGAGTACGAAATACGTGCAAGGTAAAGAGGCAGAGTCGTTGCGGGACCCTGCGCTCATAACTGTGTGCGCTATACGCACTCTGGCCTTGCAAATCGATATTGCCGTGTTGGCGGCGTCCGGGCCTACCGTAAGATATTCGGGCCACTTTCGGAGCAAATTTCAGGCTTGGTAGACCCCCTCTTTCGCTCCGAACTTCACTCGTCGCTAGGTAAGGAGTCTACTTTACATCGCCACAAAAACCCGGCAACCATCTTTTTGCCGGGACGCTGTCTTTAAGGAGTATCTGTAGGAGCTAATCTGCCAATCGCAGTCATAGCGAGTGCAGTGTCCACAGCAGTTCTTTGAGTCCAAAAGGCGAGTTCTGGCATCCTTGAAGACTACAAAACGCAGTTCCGGACTCTTTTCAGCATGCCAAGAAGATCCAAAGGTTTCATAAACCTAACAGGGAAAGGATCCCAAGTAAGCTCGGCCAATCCGGATGAGGCATATATCACCGCAGCATAGCGCTTAAAACGCCGATTCCAAAAGATGAGAGTGTTTTCCTCCAGGGTGAGAGCTCCCTTCAACATGCCAATCCTTGTCCAAGGACCTTGGAGAGTGACGGTAGTGGCTGGCAAAGTAATAATAGGTAAAATGCTTGATGAGCAGAGGTCACCGGTTCGAATACGATCGCTTGCAACCCTTTTGCATTTTTTTTGCAAAAATTAAAATCGAGCTTTTACTTGATTAGCATAAGCGCTAACATACCCATACTTACTGTGAACACACAGGGATGCGTTTTCGTAGAAAATGGTGATGTATGTGATCAGCATCGAAATCGAGATAGATCTAGTTTGACAAATTCTGACACCGAAATCTCAAGGCCTGCTGAAATAGCGCCCATTTGTCTACGTTAAAAATTTTAAAAATTATAGAATCAATAGTTCGATATCCATTTACAAGCTCGAATTTACTCCTGCAAATAATGCAAAAGCATTGCACGCTACGGGATTGAACCCATGACTGTTCGCTTATCAAATGAGTCATCACCTTGCCAGCGGCCATCATTTTGTACTCCTTCACACTGCTCTACACAAAAGTTGACATGTTATACGGCGCCTCATTTCGGAGAGGAACACCTCTCATAACTCTTTCACAAAATCGTTCCGCAGCTAGAAACGAAAAGTTGAAATTATCGTTTTAAGCGAAAGCCCAGCTGACTTGGGATCCTTCCCTTGTAAGGGCGAAGCAGTCGAGCCACTGCCTCCAAACGATCACAAATTTTGAGAGCAGGTGAAGCTATCAAATGGCGTTTACATCTTCCGGAAATATCGTTCAAATGACCTTCAAGTTGAGGAATTAAAAGCAAGCCAAAATTTCGTTTGCTGCATTTTTCGTTTTCAATATCTCATGCTAGAGAAGACCAATCAAGCCCAAATCATTTTGATGTAGACTACGAGGCTTGATCTATCGAATATATACATTCTTGTCGCCTTCCCTAGCGACTCACGTAGTGGTGAAGACTTAGCATGTTACCGTATCCCAATATTTTTGCAGTATTTTACCAGTTTTTTGTAGTTGCATAGGTAAGGAAAAACGATTATATCTTGCTCTTGTAGGAACGTTTTCGTATGAAATTTTCTGCTATGTAAAGAAGAAGGCTAAGCAGTAACAACGATATAAAAAACGCAGCTATTTGATCTGTTTGAAGGTAAGTTAATGGGGTGTGGCACCACCCCTAAAAAGCTGTGGTAGCCACACCTTTTTAAGGGTGGTGCCACACCCCGTTAACTTTATCGAAAAAAACATTTTTAGCAAACGTTATTTATATGAATCGATAGCCTAGACCTCGTAGATTTCATAGGAGTGATTTGAACCTTCTTAGCTCTGAGTAATATTTGGTGAAAGCACAGCCATTAAAAGCGAAAAATAGGAAAAATAAGATTTTGGTTGGCTTCTAATTCCACAGTTTGAGGTCTTTTGTAGCGGGATTTCTGAGGTGGACAAAGAAGGAGTAGTGCTTTGTCATGAGTGCAAAAATGGATAGCTAATTCACCTTTGAAACAAAGTTAACCATGTTGGAATATGATGACCATTTCACTTAGGTAGCCTATATTATGTTGAAATTCGCTCAAATTTTGTGTACAGGAGTTAATTGGAATGCCCATTATGGATATGTTGCCCGTTATGTTTGACAAAGCCTTCAAGTAGTGCTACCTGAGGTATATAGTTAGGGATCTTATTGAGACAGCAATAAGAGGGGGAGGGGTCGTAATCAGCGATTGCGCCACACCTCTTGCTTGACCCTGGTCATTACTCTCACAGCTCTTATGCTTACATCCTTTGTGAGAGCTTTGCAATCGAAAACTAAGAACGACGAAGATGAACCGGGGATAACCTAAATTAACTTTATGTGCCAAAGATGTATGCATTTGATTGAATGCCCGCTGCACATTCCTAGTATGGTCACACGTTTAAAATTGGGATACCCAATAACAGAGACAAATGAACGAGTTCCCACTAAAAAGTCATAGTAAAACGAGCGAAGTTAAGATTATCAGACAGCTACTTTTTAGCGGCACGAGTTTTTCTTAGCGCGGACTTGATCATTGCGGAACGAATCGTGACATTTGTCTTCTACGTGTGCAACCCAGCGATTCCACCTCGGCAGGAAAAAGACTTTTTGTTGATATATTATCCGTAGCCACGCCTTAGACAAGCATTCGACGCTTGCTTTCGCAGCCGTATCGTTCTCTACTTCGATTTTACCTACCAATGATGCTTTGAACTGTTGGCATAGCTCAAAGAGCTTTGATTTGCAAATCATTACCAGTATATTGAAACATCTAGGAGACGTCATCTGATTAAAATCTTATTTTCAACTTTCTCATTAGCTTTTTTTCAGGTTAAATAATTATGAAATCCTCTATAGCCCTTACGGAAAGGGAGAGAGAAGCCGTTGATTCCATAACGTTCGTGCATAATCACGATTATCTCAGATCTTTTGCAAGAAAAAAGTCATGTTACGTTTGCCTCTTCTTGCGCCATCTTTCGTTTCAGGTCTATTTTAACGTACAGCATTTATCATAAATAGCAATAGCACTCATAGATAGATTCTCCACATTTCTTTCGGCGAGAAGTGGTACGTTTGAATCGCCGAACGTGTGAGGGCTTCAAACGGCACAATTTCAATATTCGCACTGTGATATTCAATGATTGCATGCGTCTCATCGATTATCCAATCTGACGAAATAAAGAACCGATTTAATTTTAAATATTCTTTTCTTCGCTACCAGTGTTTTCTATTACTACTTTATTGCTAATTCTACTAAATCTATTAGTATTTAAACTCTACTGGCTAGTCTACTCATAAGAATCCTAAGAGCAAAGTATGTGCTATGTGTGAAAGAAAATCTTTATGAACAATTAGTTGTCCAAAACATCCATACTCTTGCTGCGAAGAAAGCATTACTAACACGGAACACTTTATTAGACTGGCTCGAAAGTCTTCAAACAATTTCAGACTAAGTCTGCTATTTCTCAAAACCTTATGCATGTACATCCTCAAAAATTTGCAGCCATGCTCTTTCTCTCACCTTTAGCTGATATTTAAGCAAGTGGGAGGAGCCTAGAATCGACGAGGTGGGGTTTGCCGCTTTTCAATTACCTCGTTTTTCTTGCTGTTTGAACTCAATTTCTACACGAACTGTGCAGTGGCAATCCCACGATCTCCTTCCCGGGGGAAAAGACTTTTTACAAAGCTAATTTGAATTTTTAAAAAATTTTAAAAAATATTTTGATTATTTACAAAAATAAACAAGTCGTTTGCACATCTTTATAACCCATGTAGGTAAATTTCAAAAATTTCGCGACCCATTCTCGGGGGGGAAGGGGGCCTCGGTCCGCCACTGGAACTGTGCTAAGCGTATAAATATGCATAAGAAATTAATAACTTGCTTGTGCTCACCATGGTTTTGAAGGCGTTGTTCATCTATTCAATTAGTATGCAGCACCCTCCCAGAATATTCGTGCCAACCTAGTAGCTTGATCAAGATGGTTGTGCGCATTTCTAGTTTTCTCATGAACTCACATATGTTCAGATGCTACGGCACAGTGATGCAGTTCTTTTTGCATATCCATGCCAGCCCGAACCAGTACTTTCCGCAATCATCGAAAAAAAGTCGCCAGTCTAGCTTTCAGTTGCGCAAAAATATAGTGAGCGCAAGTCGGCTGATATTCACGCTTGTGCATGCAAGGTTCACGATTTTTCCTAAACATGCGGTCACACGAGTTTTTGATAGAATTGAAAACTCTGCGAGACTTTATAGTCCGGTTTGTCAGCAGACAGAAGTGAATAGGAATCGCTACAACCACATTACATTATGATTAGGCGTGCATTGAATCATGAATACGTATATGACTTCTTTCTGTATATAACCGCGCACGCCTTGTCGCACTGTGTTTCTCTCAAATGTCTGCACAGTATTTTCTGTTTTGTAAAGTATCACAATCGGTACTTGTCAATATCTCGCTCGCTGATCGGGCGTTGTTTCATCTTTGTAGTCCAGTCAGACGAGAGCGCCCAACCCGTTTATGAATTGATGGCCTAAGCGGGCCGCAGAGCCAAATTTATCGAGATAAAAACTTTCCGTCCGACATGGCCAAACTTGCCGAATCATGCACAGGAACCTACGTTGTGTTCCAGTCTAACGTTGCAACTCCATAAATGATGGGAATGTGTGAATTAACCACAACCCTCCCATTCTATATCGACGTCTATCGCATTCTTTCAGTCAAATTCCTTAGAAAATAAAACTTCTTCTTTATTTTGGCATGAATGCATAGGTGTGGTATGAGAGTTTGACCTTAAAACTTACTTCTTTTCCTTCACTAATCCTTCCATTTGACGAGCTTTGGCATTTCTCTTGTCAGCAACGCGTTCAAAGTTTTGACACCAGTATTTGTGACCGGGACATCCATTTTTCTTAATCGATTCGTAATTGACCAATACTATGAGTAACCAACACAATTGTGTCAGGATCGCGCGCAAACATATCTTCGACTGAAAGTTTCATAATCAAGCAATTATGAAGACCGATTGTAAGATCCGCATGTTTCTGCACAAGCTGATACAGAAAGTAGGAACTTTTACGGGTAGAGATCAGTGAACTTTATAAAATGGTTTGTTTGGAATGTTATTACATGGTTTACATAATTTGCAAGATCCAATAATTCTAATGCTATGAATTGCTCTTCATTCAGCAATGCAATAAGTGACTGATATTTTAAATTGGCACATGATTTTTGCACCACCAACATTTTTGAATTTTCGTTATTTTCCAGCTTCAATAAAAAATTTTCATCCAACAAAACAAAGGGGGATCTCGCGCTTTCAGTGTGTGCTTGAGACAAAATTCGATGACAACCATATAAGCTGGATAAGAGAAAAACTCATTAACGATTCATTGAATTTTGGTCAGTAAAACTACTAATCACGTTATCGTGCTTAAACAGTGAAAAGAAGCAAAAAAAGCAAAGGTACTTTTTCTTCACCTTTCCGAGGTCAAAAACATTGTCTCGTCTGAAACGTTTGCACTTTCTAGCTGCTAGAGAGAAAGACAGTTCTGATCTTTCCGCTATCAAATGTCCTCATTTCCTGAGTCTACTCTTTTTGTATTTAGCGGAGCTCTCAAGGTGCTTATCACTGCCCTAACAATCCCATTCCTTGCAAAAGCAGCAAAGTCCCGCTGCAGAATGCTCTTCTTGCAAGCATGAAACCTTTGCCTTGAAGTAAACAAAACTTTGGGCTTTTGATTTTGTGCTAGAGAGGTTTTTATGGTGGACTTTTATTGCCTAACGTTTTGACAAGTATCGTCTTCTTCGCAGGCCTGAAAGGAATTGTTGGTATTCATCAGTCTTTATGACCAAACGCCTTCTCTAACTTGCGGCATTTAGACCTTGTCTATAGCCGTCCTCACCCCAGTAGTCGGTCGGTGGTCGAATTTGAACTCGAACTGGAGCAGGCCGACAGCGGCAGAGCGCGGCAGACCGCCCCTCAGGCAAACGCTTGCACATGAGCTTTTCCTTTATTTTCTTCGTGTTTCTTGCTATCTCTCGTATTGCAGCAACGTTCGTTCGTTTACGACCAGATTTTCAAGCAAACACTTTTTGAGAGAATTTCAGCCCTATCGCAAGAAAAAAAGTTTAGAGTAAACATTCCAGCGAGAAACTTGACACAGCTCATCAAATCTCAACTGTGTATATGTTACTTACCGGAAGAGAGATTTTTCATCCAAAAATCTCCAATCGCATCCTTCTTCCCGGTTTACGTGAAAAAAAATGTAGAACAAACGAGCACAACTGCACAAAACAAAAGTTAGCGGTATAAAATCTAACAATCTGATCAAGAACGTTGCCGCAATACGAAGATAGCAAAGAAACACGAAGAGAATAGGAGAAAAGTTCTTGTGCAAGCGGTTGGCTGAGGGACGATCTGCCGCGCTCTGCCGCGGCCGGCCTGCTCCATTTCGAATTCAAATTCCACCACCGACCGACTAGTGGGGTGAGGACGACTATAGGTACAACATAATGGAAAACAATCTAAAGTGGAGTAATCAACCTTCAGTCCATCATGAAGTTAGTAGTCCGCACGACTGTGACGGACATCACTAATAAAACTTGTTTACAACGAAGAGGATATATGATATTGCACCAAATTTGGTGCGCATATGCGCAATGGGGAGTCGAAACTGGTGTGTAAAAACGAGAAATTCATGTGATCTGTGGATGCGGCAATTTGTTTCGTAACTGAGTGGATTACACATCCTGTGGCCGTATTCATCAACGACTCCGAGGTTTAACTTACCCTGGAGAGTAAGTTTAACCGCCGGAAAGCATTAACCCGTATTCATGAACGTGATTCCTCAGGGTAAACTTAACCCTAACATAGAGTAAGGTTAACTTGACCCTGACACTTCATGCAAACATAAACTGATCTGTCGATACACTACTTAGCCCTGACGAAACTATTTGACAACGAACGTATTTCTAATTTATATTATCTCAAATTTCTCAAGTCCTCTTCTCTCGTCTGATCTTATATATTAGGTTGTTGCAAACGTTCTGTCGTTTCATTTTCAAAAATTTGTAAATCCGCGAAATTTCAACGGATTTGCTTGCTTGTAATTTTATTAGAAAGAATAAGTCTTTCGCTTTTAAATGCTGTTCTGTGGAGCTTCTGTTTCGTAGTGGGTGCGGAGATAAAAATGGAAAGCTAAGACCATATAAGCTTTGACCATTTTAAGTTAGGTCACCAAAGATCTGGAATGCTGCAGAAAAATCTGAAATCCTCAGTACATATGTTTTTTGGCCTACCCTTTGCATCTGTGAAAAGTTTGCGCTGTTTGGACGTCTCTGTGAGAAGTTATGAATATCGAGTTTACTATGGAAAACGCTAAAATTAATTAATTTGTCAATTTTCGCGAAAATCATAACTTCTCACAGAGACGTCCAAACAGCGCAAACTTTTCACAGATGCAAAGGGTAGGCCAAAAAACATATGTACTGAGGATTTCAGATTTTTCGCAGCATTCCAGATTTTTGGTGACCTAACTCAAAATGGTCAAAGCTTATATGGTCTTAGTTTTCCATTTTTTCCCGCACCCAGTATGAAACAGAAGCTCCACGGAACAGCATTTGAAAGCGAAAGACTCATTCTTTCTAATAAAATTGTAAGCAAGCAAATCCGTTGAAATTTCGCGGAGTTACAAATTTTTGAAAATGAAACGGCAGAACTTTTGCAACAACCTAATATAAAGCTGAATGTCTGTTTGTATGTCTGTATGTCTGTCTGTCTGTATGTCTGTCTGTCTGTACGTATGTTCCGAATAGAAAATTCCATTCCTGAACCGATCTGGACCAAACTTGGCACACATACACTTCGGGCCCCGGCGGGTGTCACAGGCTACTTTTCGTCATCGATCGACATCGATTTTATCGATTTTTTGCAAAATTTGAGCTACGGGGCTGGGAGTTGGCACAGGGGGTAGTCGAGCATGCTGATTACGAATATAATAATGACAGGGCCGGGCGGAGCCGGGTAAGTCAACTAGTATGTAATAAAAATCAAGCTGTCCCATTTTTCACCGTTCAGCCTAATAGTTCTCTTTTATATGACTACCACTCTGCAATACATGAAGTACTCTTCATTTCTGGACAAATACGTGCATGCAAAAACTCTAAGCGAGG